TATCACAAACATGATTAATTTTTCAAAATGAAGCCATGGGACTATAGGTTTCACTTTGTAAAATGAAGCCATGGGAGTGTAGGATTTCTTTTATGTCTAGTCTCCTCCAAATCCCTGGGTGGCCCATGTTACTCAAAACTTCATAGTTCAGGCTGGGCATGGTGGTTCATACCTGTAATCCCAGCACTTTGGGAGGCCAACGTGGGCAGATCACCTGAGGTCAGGAGTTCAAGATAGGCCTGACCAACATGGAGAAACCCCATCTCTACTAAAAATACACACAAAAAAATTAGCCAGGCGTGGTGGTGCATGCCTGTAATCCCAGCTACTCGGGAGGCTGAGGAATGAGAGTCACTTGAACCCAGGGGGCAGATGTTGCAGTTAGCCAAGATTGTACCATTGCACTCCAGCATGGGCAACAAGAACAAAACTCTTGACACCAAAAAAAAAAAAAAAAAAAAAAAGCTAGGCCAGTCCTGTCCCCAGCCTTTTTCTTAGGCAATTACATTTCTAGCTAAACTCGTGCTGCTGTCAGCCACCCAGCAGCTTTCCTATCCCAGTCCTGTCATCTTTCTTCTATAATGCCAACAGTCAGGCTGTGTGATGTACAAGGGAGGATCATGTAGTGGTGAAGCATATGGGTTCAAATCACCATTCTGCAGCCAAAGCTGTATAATCCTGTGCAAGTTGTTTAACCTTGTTGTTGCTTCAGTTTTATCATAAAATGAGTATTTTCCTGATGAGGTTGTTGAGAGGACCAAGAGAATGAGAATAAATAAGCAACTCAGCTCAATGCCTGGCAGATGATAAGATCTGAGTTCAAGAAATATTGGCTATTAGTATCTCATTTGAGACTCATACATGGTGTTATCATCACGGCCATTTTATGGACAAGTTATCTGAAACCCAGAATGTAAATTATGGGCTACAGATCACAAGTAGCCAATAACGAGAGAGAGACTAATACTTCAGCTTTTAGAATCTGTTCTCCCAAATATCTAAAGAATCCATACTTTTTTTTTTTTTTTTTGAGAGAGTCTCACTCTTGTCACCCAGGCTGGAGTGTAATGGTGTGATCTTGGCTCATTGCAGCCTCCGGAGGGGAGCCTGTCACTTTGGGCTCACTTTTCCCTTAGGGATATCTGCTAATTTAGATGAAGCAGTCAGAGAAGGAGAAAAGTTATAACAACCTAACAAGGACAAGTAGAAAAAAGTTCAGGTACCACCCAAATCGGGGGACTTCTAGCAAGCCCTCCAAAAGAGTCCACTTGGCTGGTGCAATGACTCATGCTTGTAATTCCTGCACTTTGGGAGGCCAAAGTGGGAGGATCATTTGAGACCAGAAGTTCCAGACCAGCCAGCCAACCTAGCAAGACCACCCCTGACCTTCTCTACCAGAAAAAAAGAAAAAAATTAGCAAAGTATAGCGGTGCACACCTGTAGTCCCAGCTACTCCAAAGGTTGAGGTGGGAGGATCTCTTGAGCCCAGGCGTTCAAGGCTGCAGTGAGCTATGATCATGCCACTGAGCACCTGGGCAACAGAGCAAGACTCCATTTCTAAAAAACAAATGAACAAACCCAGAAGAGCCTAACCTAGCAGACAAGGAGACCATAAAAATATTTTCAGTTAAAAAAAACCCAGCTGAGAAAAATTGTTAATAGTTGATCCAAACAAGAGGAAATAATGAAGTATATGGCAGAAGGAAAAACATCTCAAGTGACAGCTTGGTGACACAGGCAAGAGTAAAGAACAAAGGGTAAATATATGTAAGCCGAAAAGCCTACTCACTATACAGAACAACAGAAATAATACAGGATTTAAAAATATAAATCAAATTAAAATACACAAAAGCAGAAGCATTAAAATTGGGAAGTCAAGAAATGGAGTTGTGTTTTAAGATCCAGGCATTGTCTAGGAAGAAGTGATTTCTACTGGACTCTGATAAATCAAGGATCATGTTGTAATCTCCAGAGTAACAATTAAAGGGATAATAAAAGAGTAACTATAAGTACCAAGATAATGGAAAGAAAATTGGAGTCTAGCTACTTCATTCAGATTTTATAAATTACATGTGTTCTATATCTGTCATATAGAAGGAAGCTTTTCTTTTGTAATCTGTTTTATTTATTTTTCTGGGTTGCTTTTTATTGAATAGCTTAAAACCCAAGATATAGGTAAACTAATCATATCAAAGCAAATTAAGGCAAAACTCAAACCCAAGGTGGCTTTCTCTAAGCAAAGATATCCTTCCTAAATGTGAAGGCCTTCTGTTATGGTTTGAATTGTGTCCCCTAAAAAGGACATAGTACTTCAGAATGGGACCCTGTTTGGAAGTAGAGCCATTGCCAGGGGAACAGTTGCTAAAAATTGTATTTTAGGTCATACTGGAATATGGTGGGCACCTAATCCAACGAGACTGGTATTTTTATGAGAAGAGGAAAATTCGGACACAGACATGCACAGAGGGGATGTGATGCAAAGATACAGGAAGAAGATAGCCACTGGATTGATGCAGCCACAAGCCAAGGGATGCCTGGGACATCCTCGAGGAAGCTGGAGGAGGCGAGGAAGAATCTTCCCCTAGAGTCTCAGAGGGAACTTGGCTCAGCAGACACCTTAATTTTGAATTTCTAGCCTGTAGGACTGGGAGGTAATGCATTTCTGCTGTTTTAAACCCGCTGTACTTGGTGGCAGCAGCCCTAGGAGACTCTCAGTCTTCCAGATCACACTGACCTTGGAAAGGATGAGGGAGATGAAAATCAAGACCTTGGGTGTAATCTCAGTGGCCTGGGGCATAGCCCACACACCATCAACGGGACAAAATGGCATCCCCTGCAGATCAAGATGAGGGTTTTACAAAAGCTCTGGATCCCAATCAATAATCAGAATTATTTGACCACAGCAAAGCAGGAGTGGAAAGAGAGAAGCCAGCCAGAGCCTCTTGGGGATCTCTTTGATCACTGCAAGCAAGGTGTGCTTTTAGGATGAAAGGAATGCATGAGAGATGAAATGCCTGTGGAGTGGGGGTCTTAAGGGAGAAGCCTCATTGCACGTCATTGCACATCCCCCTTGGGAACTCTGGGATATTAGCGGTGGCCTTTGAAGGTCAGCCTGCCTATGAGCATGTCCTCCAGGAGTTCTACCTTTCTGGTAAAGGCTGTCAGGTGGCAGAGATGGAATGGGAGAATAGGACTTCTCTTGGTGGGCAGTGAAGTCACAGGACAGAGTGAGTTGGGCAACCTCTGCCTTAGTTGGTAGCATGGTGGACTGAGGGCAGGGCTGTTCCTGAGGATCACACAGGATGATGCCACTCAAATAACCTCTGATTCAGCCATGGGGGAATGTATCCAAAGTTCTTTGAGACAGATGACCCGCTCACCTACCCATCAGGGGTAATAATGAACTACAGACAGAGGCGGAGAGATTTTCTCACCTGAGCATGACAGCTGAGGGCCAGCTGCAAAAGTGATGCCTGAAAATCAGCAGTTCCTTCTTGGGTCATCTAACAGAGGAATGAAGAACACACAGGGGAACAAGAGCACAGAAACACTTTTAAAGACAGAAAGCAGTAGGTATGAGCCACTGCAGACCCAGCCAGGCGGGGGGAATACCTGGGGCCCCAGTGATTATACTGGTGTGTGGTCCATGTCCCAGGCCACTGAGATTACACCCGAAGTCTTGATTTTCCTCTCCCCAATTCTTTCCTAGGTCAGTGTGATCTGGAGGAGTGAGAGACTCCGCTTCCATCTTTGTTGGGGGAGACATTAAAACTATTCATACAATGGATGTTTCCTTTTAGGGAGGAAGGTTAGAAGTATCATCCCTGACAACGAAATGGAACCAATCACCAAGGCCAGATGGCATCTCCCAGAAACACTAATGGGTATACTTGAAGGAGTATTGGCCAAAGAGCTGTGCAAGGGGCTGGACATCTGGTCAGCAGAGGACAGTTCAAAGAGATGGTCCCCAAAGAGATTCCACAAGCACTCTGGTGAGTCAGACAAAAGCAGAGAGGTGACAGAGCTTTGGTGAGTTTCCTGGCCTAGTTTACCTAGCAGGTGAGAAAAGCTGAGTTCATAGTAGCTATTACCATTATCAGGGTCAGAGGGACTAGGGGAAGGGTGCTGTGATGTTTGGTTTTGCTTTCATTTATTTCTAAGTGAACTGGCAGAGGGAGTGAGTATGAAATTACCAAGCGTGCCCTGAAGGCTCAGAGATGGTGAGTTGCAGCAATGGCTGAAGAGTCTGCAGCTCTGTAAGCCTGAGAAGGTGAGCTGAGCCCCAGCATGTGCCCAAGGAAAACCTGCAAAGCGCCATCAGAAGTGGCTGTTGCTTGGAGCTCTTTGTTCCACACATTAGTGCTGGTAAAACAGGAGCTCTCCTCTGAAGTTATGTATATTTGTTGTTGATGCTCAATGGAAAAATCATTTCAAATATTTGATCCGCAGACAAAAGCTTTCAAACAAAGGGGGCACCTTTGTGTGTAATGATGAGAGCTCTTGGGACTGACGGGTTGATTAATGTGATGTGGCAGTTCTGGTGTATCCTGCACTCACAGTTTAAGAATATGCATGTGCTGGGGTTAAGAAAAGAGGTAAAACGAACAAACTGAAAGGGTGTAACTTGAAGGAAGAGGTTAGTTCTGTGCAGAAGGAAACGTTCCTGTTGAGTGAATTCAATACAAAACCAGGTAAGAAGGTGAGAGAAAGGTGGAGGCCGGGGCTACCATAAGCCTCATCCCTCCCCTTTCCCAGCCCTGAAAATAGCTTTCTTTGTTGAAGAATACACCTGAGGTGAGCCTTCTTCACTCATCCTCCCATTCAAATCCAATTTGCTACTCAGGTAAGTCCTTCCAGGTGCCTTGTGGTAATAAAACCTCCCGGGTTAATTCACAGACTCTCACAGAAAATCAAAGCTCTGCCCAGGCTCTTTCACCGAGAATAAAGAAATGAAATGGATGCTGCCCTCAGAGGTGCCAGACCAAGCCCACATGAAAATGTTTTGATTCCTGGGACACAAAACCATTTATTTTTGGTTCATTTCAGTATCTATAGCAGTGCACAAATAACACATTTCCATCCACATGAATAGTTTCCAATTGTTGGAGCAAATTAATCTTTTACAAGCTACTCAGCAGTGAGGTTAGAAGATAAACAGATGAAATCGTACACTTTCCCCTGTATGTGAACTTTCTTATTACAATAAACTCCCACATTTGAGCTCACCACATCCAATGACTGCTGCTCTCTGTTCATGTGGCAGCCCCAGCTGCCCCCTGCCACCTCTGCCCTGCTGAGGTAGTTCTCTGATCAACCACCTGGGTGGGGCATGCTGCCATTTTCAGTTTGGAAGGAAAAGCCTGTAAATCTGCTTCCTGGGAAGAGAGACACTGCTGAATTGTCATTTGCCTCCAGAATGCAGAAAACATCAATTTCATTGCAGCTCATCAGGGTTGGAAACACCTGCCACTTCCTTTCTCAGCTGCAATTAACATGCTGCATCTTGGCATTGATTGAGTCCAAGCAGCCTAACACTGCCAAAGTCTAGGTTTAAATGAAACAGTACAACCTGATATTATTTTTCACAGTTTCAAAAACACAAACTTATTTTTATTGCCAAAGAAGCACTGTGATCATGGGGAATATGCCTTTATGCTTGAGATAAGCATGAGCAGAATAGGTGATGCTTATAATAAAAATAGCTTTCATCTTTGTATTTGGGGATGGTACTTATTTCTTGATCTTTCTATTTATTTGGAGTCCACCTCCAAATAAATACAAAGATCAAGACTTTATTAATTAAGGAGTAATATTCTTTCTGTATCTTAGCATCTGGTACAGGGCCACAGAACCCCATGGGCATTCAGAGGATGTTAAATAAATAGACACATAAATGGTTTGGGACAGCAAGCTTAAGAACTGTCCTTTTGGCCCAACTTAGGTAAAATTCTGACCTTACAACTATCATAAACACTTTGATTTAACTTAGAAGTGTACGAGACTGACTGTGAAAGATGACCTGAGGCTAGGCCTTCTGTCCCATTCAAAGTCCTAAATAATTGGGCCTTGATCACATTCACTAGTGCCCTTTTATGGGGCAGTGCAGACTCTGCGTTCATCATAATCCTACTCATATTGTATACAAAGAAACTCTTCAAAATGTACAATATTTTACATTTTGAGAGTCTTAGAACACTCTTGTAAATAAGGAATGGAATCATTTCAGATAGTTCAACAGAAACAATATTTGTTTCCACTGGATATGCTGAAATGGTTTTATGTACTAGTAAAACAGAAAAAACAGAAAGCCAGTGTATGTAGAAAACTGTTAAGGATGAGGTTTATGTTTTAAGTTGGCCAGATAAAACTGAGCCGTAAACCACAGAGCACAGTCTGTGAAATAAAGTGAACAAATTGCTTCTCTCATCTATTAACAGAATACTAGAGGCCAAGAACCACCTTCTCTCTCAGCCCTCTTGGTAGACTCATTCTTAGGGATGGAAATAAAGGAAATTAAAATAAGTGGCCATTAATTCTTTTGCACAATAACAACTCAAACATGACACACTTGAGCATGATCTATTAAATGTATGCAAGCATCAAAGGATGTACTTTTATGCAATGGACAGAAAAGACTGGGGCCTGAATATTACTGCATATTCTAGAATGAAAACTGAAGTTATAAATCTTTTTCTTCTAATGAGTTGATATTCCTGTGCATCCATAATCTTACCTCTAAATGCCTGATAGGTCTTTTCCAAATTATAACACCTGAAAACCTGAATTATGAGGAAATCATATTATCAATTCTCACCAATATACAAATAAATAAAAATAGATATCCAGAAATGGTACTGTTTTCATAGGTGGGTAGGAAGGTAGATGCCTCCTCATATTGCCTAATAATAGAATTAAGGCACTGGAAGAACTGATTCTTATTTTAAAAAAAAAAAAAAAAAGGAAGGAAGGAAGGAAAAGAAAAAAGAACTACAACCTTTGGAGCTTGGTATAGCATAGAAAGATTGTGCTTAAATATAGCCCAAAGCGTTGGCTGACTCAGGAAATCCAGTTATACATCTACTTGTCTGCTGGCCAGATTGGTGTGCGCAGAGAGCATCTCCGACAGAAGCAGTTCACGGATCAACTTGAGAGAAATTTGGTCTCCAGTCAGAGCCAACTGTTGTAGAGCACCTTTTGTCTAATGAAACATTGAAACACTTGCCGAAATGAGAGCAGCCAAATATACAACCAAGAGTTCTTTAGTGTTTCTCTTATCAATAACAGACTAAATCTTCAAAGAATCCCAGTCAGCAAAAACAATCAAATGTTTTATGACAACACATCACCATATTAAATCTTCTCTTCTTTGGCCCCCATGGGAACCATCAAAATGCTCCAGGAATTCTAACAACTCAGGACAGAAACTCCATCTTCCAGTTTTCTTTTCAAACTGAAATGTCATTAAAAAAATCCATGACCCAGTTTGGGATGTGGTAAATAGGGTCACTGCATTCAGCTCTCCCTCTAAGTCAGAAGTGATTTTGTCCTTGCTCTGTAGAGTTCCTGGGGAGAGGGAGAGATACTTCCCTCTCCGAGTCTAAGAAGACCACCAGCAAGAAGTGTTCCTTCTCTTGTACCCTAGCATGTTCAGTTTCAGTAGCAGCACCAACCTCACGAATATTTTATCAACAAATAAAATAAGTTCCCTTTTTTTTTTTTTTGCCATCATCAACACTTATTTTAAAGTACTTTAAAATTATTCCTTTTCTGAAAACGCTTTTTATTATTTTCCAGGGGGGCATAAAAACTGTAGCATGGGGACAAAAAGGTTTTCTAAGCCAGCAGTGTTTGGTGAACACTAACAATCCCACTGGCATAAAGTTAAAGTTTTATTTCCTTTCCTCTTAAAATAAAGGCTCAAATGTTCCATTAAGCTCTCATTGCTTATGTATATTATATTAAGGCTTACAAATGCACCTGGTAAATTAAATTCACCCTGGATTGAATTAACACCTGCTATATGAGTTATTTGTTTTATGTAATCAGTAATCTCAAGGTTTCTCCTCTTTCTCTGGAAACACAATTTAAATATTAACCTAATCTTTAAACTGTGGCTGCTTCTTTCTGACATTTGGAAACCGGTCATCCATATAAAAAAGGCAAATATGGATATATTAGTGGAAAGGCAGCTTCTCAAAAATCTTAAAGTATGTAACTCAATGAATTGGGAAGAAAAATGATAAAAGCAACAGGAAAGTCAAGTCTTTGTGTCACTTTCTAGGGAAAACAATGCTGGTCATTTGCCAACAACACCTCCAGTCTGAGAGCCTGGCTGAAGCTGACTGCCAATTTCCAAAGAGTCTTTGGGTTCTCTTCATTATAATCTGGAAGGACCATGGGAAGGTGCTGTGCGTGCAAGAGAATTTTAATTTTAACAAATGCACTAAGGTGTAACTTAAGTTCCAGCGATGATTAATCCTGCAGAAGGACCCGTGAGGGTATGCGGTGCACTTGGCCTGATCTGTCCCAGCTTGCAGCCAGGGAGAGGGATCATGAGCCTCCTCAAGTCCTGCTCAGCTGACAGCGGCTGGAGAATATGAAGCTTTCAAAGTGCTGGTCCTCTGCTTTTTCTCTGACACGTTGTTCCTCTAAGGAATTGACAAGTTTGTCCCTTTGCGTAATCACTTGCATCAGCTCGGTGAATATTTCTTGCTCTTCATTTAGATCCTTCTCATCTTTCTGGCTCTCTAAAGAAAAAAAGAAAAACACTGGGCTCAGAGAAGATTGGGCCCCAGGAGAGTTCTTGGCATGGACATTCTCGATTGTTGTGGACTTGTTCTGCCTTTTAATTTTAATGGAGAAAACAAGGAAATGAATTTAACACCAAGGAACCGCCTTTAAAGCCAGAGAGAAGAAAAGTGGGTGCAGTGAACTAGTTCACTCAGTTTTCATCTTGAAGATATGTACAAAGCGACAGTGAAAATCCCTTTGTAAGAAAAAGAACTTAATACCAGCCAAGCCCTATCAGGTCCCCCAACCTTCTCTCTACCCAGAAGAGAAACCATCAAAACAACAAAAAGGTGGTTTCCATAAACATGTCTGAGCGACAGCAAAGAAATCTGTGAGAAGTTTCTAATAAACCATCTATCTGCACCAGGGGCTACTGTTTCAATGACCAGAATCTTTTTTATTTTTCTGAGACAGAGTCTCGCTCTGTTGCCCTGGCTGTAGTGCAGTGGCATGGCCTTGGCTCACTGAAACCTCCGCCTCCTGGATTCAAGTGATTCTCCTGCCTTAGCCTCCCGAGTAGCTACGATTATAGGTGCCTGCCACCAAGCCTGACTAATTTTTTTGTATTTTTAGTAGAGATGAGGTTTCATCATGTTGGCCAGGCTGGTCTCGAACCCCTGATCTCATGATCTGCCCACCTCAGTTTCCCAAAGTGCTAGAATTATAGTTATGAGCCACTGTTCCCCGCCAGAATCTCTTTTTACCTGTAGTTAATGACAAACTGTAGCCTTTTGTGTAGGGACCACAGGGAAGCAAAGTGAGGCTACAGACAGGAAGGTGTTTCCACACTGACTCTGCTTTTCCCTTTGTCTTCGCTAGTACCTGACCTTGATAATTGGCCTGAGGCATTCAGTTGCCTGGGGGAGAGAGGATTGTTAGAAGATAAAAGGAGAATAGGAAACAAGTAGTAATGAGCTTTGGACACAGAAAATAGGAATTTGAAGCCAGATTTAAGTCTTGTCAAGCAGATGATTGCCTTGGGAGAGACCTTTCTAAATTCCTAGAGCCTCTCTGTCTAACACATGGAGGACTGGGTGGGAAGCTCCATCCCAGAGTACAGAGGGTGCCACTGTCCCTTGTCAGGCTTAGCTCTGAGGTCTGGGCCAGGAAGCAGGTAGATCTGATGAAAGGGAGACAAAGAAGCACTACCCCTTGTACCTCAAGATTTAAGCAGAGAAGGGAGAGACAGGAGGGGCAGAGGCACGTTCGATCTCTCCGTCTGGGCCTTGGAAGCCCCAAAGGGGGCAGGAAATGTCATATCTCATTTGATGGGAACAGTGGAGGAGGGAGGTGGATGGGGGAGGGAGGTGGATGGGCAAAGGACTCTTGCCCTGCCCTTGTTCAGAATTCTGGAAAGAAGCCAGCCTAAAGGACATCCTTATGTATAAACATAAGACAGTACTTCATGATTGGGCAGAGAAGAAGGGTCTGAGTGTGGCCCCCCAGATCTCGGTGTGCTGTATGTGGCATGGGTGGAGCCTAGAAGCGTCCACTTGCCCCACTGTTGCCAAAGACAGCTGGCTGGTGGACCTGCCACAGGGCTCCCCTATGGAGCAAAGTGACCCCACAGGAGACACTGTCTGGCGGCACTGAATGGAGGATGTGCTGAGGTGAGGCTGGGTGAGCCAGGAATGCCCGCAGGCTCCCAGGCATGCCGAGAGCGTGGCCAGACTACAGATGACACCAGCACACACCTCAGCTGTGGATGCCAGCAGAGAGAGTTGCAGCCCAATGATGGTGGATGCTGTGTGGGGACTCAATGAGCAGAGCCGGCCACACGGATTCCTAATGCTACAAGGTTATACAGACCTGCCTCTTCCCATTACCTGCCAGTCACCCTAGGGAGAGATGCAGAAAGGAGGGGTGGCATCTTCAAGACTGCACATTTTCATCCCAAAGAGACTGAGCATCTCCTACAAGGACTGTTTAAGTTATTGCATCAGATTAAGTTTACCCATAGAGGGATAAAGAGTTCCTATTTTTTTCCTTGCTAATTAGTGGGAGGAAGCATATGCAGAAGATGAGCTCCGGTACAGACAGAAGAAAGAAACTACATTTTTTGGATACATCTGAGAGGAGTGAGCAAAACGTATGACCTTTACTCCTTAGTAAAAATGTTTTTAAAAAGAATCAAGTCTTTGGTGGTATTTATTTACTATCCTTAAACAGAACAAATTAAACTCTTCAGATATATAAATCTGATATTAGTTAGACCCTAGGTTTATTAAATTAGATATATTCCAGGATTACTGCTCAGTTAATAAACAGCACAGAAAAAAAAATCCTCTCTCTGTTTAGGCTTGTTGCGGATGGACCCATCGGAGCTCCTTCTGACATATGAAAGATGATTTATACCACTTTAGTCTGCACAGGGCTGCTGCGTAAGGATTTTGTTAGAATTCTGTTGCTATAAAGAAATGGTCTGCAAATCAATGCCATATGGGAAAGGACAGGAGACCCTGATCTGTGATCTATTCCTAAATCTTAGCACTACCATTTACCTTGTGCACGTTATTTAAGTTCTCTGAGACTCAGTTTTCTAATTTGTAAACTGAGTGCAAAAACACCTAAATAAAAATAAGTGATAATGATGCCTAATATTTGCTAAGTACTTGCTCTATACTGGACAACCTCATAAGGTAGGTGCAGTGTTAGTTCCATGAGGTATAGACCTTCTTTAAGTTGTTCTTTTAGATCTAGGACTGAATATAGGAAGGTCATGCATGGATCTGGCGCCACAAACACTTGGGCACAAAACAGAGTGAATATGCCTCTGGCGGGAACTAATAAATGCATACAGCAGTAACAGCCATATATCTCCACCCTCCCTCCTTCCTGTGGGAATCGTTTTCTCATGTGTGATGCCCTGGCCCTGCCTAACGCTGGGAGAGAATGTTTCCTCTACCAGCTCTAGTGTCTGGCAGCACTGGGCCCACCTTTCCCTGTGATCCCGAAGCCCTTCTGTTGTGGCCTTCATCTCACTGAACTAGCATTACTGGTCTGGGGGTGTTAGTCTTCCCAGTGGGACCACAAAGTCCTACAGGGCAGGGGTTGCTCTTTACCCCATCCAGGCCCATAGTTCCCAGTAAATGTGTGTTAAATGAATGGGTGGATCCGTGAATGAATAAGTGAACATAGGACTGTGTTCCTACTGCCACATGGGATGGGGAAAACACTGTCATCACAGCCCAAGTGAAGGAGGCTAAACGGGGCTTGTGGTGCTGGTGGGGGCAGAAGGCAGGCTGGCTTTTGACCTTCCTCTGACTCGCTGGCTGGCAGGAAGAGCGCCCCGCTCTGGGATTTGCAGCACGCTCTGCTCAAGAACCTTTCTGGGGGAAAGTGTTCCAAACAAGGGCCCAGGACATCAGCATACTCACCCTCCTTGAGCATTTTCTCTCTCAGTTTCTGCTCCAGTCTGCTTTGATGGTCTTCTAATTCTAGTTCCTGGGCCCTGGGTATGAGAAAATGTTCTGACTTTATTACTAGAGATTTGTGAGGAAACATTGCTGAACAAGCCCATTGAGAGTAGCTATAGCTTTCTTTTTTCTTTATTAAAATTGGAGTCTTAGCCTATCTTTGTTTTTTATTATAATTATTATTATTTTTGAGGCCAAGTCTTATTCTGTTGTCCAGGCTGGAGTGCAGTGGTGCCATCTCAGCTCACTGCAACTTTTGCCTCCACGGTTCAAGTGATTCTCCTGCTTCAGCCTCCTGGGTAGCTGGGATTACAGGCGTGCACCACCCTGCCCAGCGAGTTGTTTTTTTTTTTTTTTTTTTTTTTTTTTTTTTTTGAGATAGAGTTTCACTCTTGTTGCCCAGGCTAGAGTGCAATGGCACAGTCTTGGCTCTCTGCAACCTCCGCCTCCTTTGTTCCAGCGATCCTCCTGCCTCAGCCTTCTGAGTAGCTGGGAATACAGATGCCTGCCACATGCCCAGCTAATTTTTGTGTTTTTAGTAGAGACAGGGTTTCACCATATTGGCCAGGCTGTTCTCCTGACCTCAGGTGATCCACCCTCCTTGGCCTCCCAAAGTGCTGGAATTACAGGCATGACACCATGCCTGGCCTTAGCCTGTCTTTAAACTGAATGTTCTGCTGCTGCTGGGATCTCTGAAGGTGCCTGAAAAGATTGCTGAGATGCACTGAACTGAAGAGACCAGGGGGCAGCGGCTGAAGGCTGCAATGTGCTCTCAGTAGCTTTGGAAGGCCAGCCAGACCATCCTTTAGGGATGGGGTGGGGGGTGAGGAGAATAGTGAAGAAATGACTAGCATAAGCCCTGGGAGAAGCAATGACAATCAAATACTTTTGTCTCTTTTAGGAGTAACCTGACTTAGAGCATTATCTCCAATGACTCTCAAGTCTCTGTGGTAAATGAGAAAACAAAATGGAGGAAACAAAAGTGAGACATTTTTGTGTGGGTGGGGGCTTAAAACTCAGGCAACTCTCCAGCTGGCTGTAGGAAAGGTGGAAAGAGTCAGTGAGGCTTTAGGGTAGTCAAGCTTGAGTGCTGGGGACTCAGCATTTCCACTGAGAGGAGCAGCAAAGTCAAGAAACTAGTGAGTCCTCAGTGAAGGTCAGATGGAGCTTCAGTCTTCCATGCTGGGGGAGGCGGGTGTGTGAGCTTCCCACAGGCGAGCCCAAAATGCCACTCTGAAGTTCTCAGGAGAAATGAGAACCACACACAGGTGTGGCAGTGGTCAGAGGTGAGAGCTGAAGTTGTGTGATCCCTAAAAGGAAGACTATAGAGAAAGAAAGAGTTTGAAAACAGAAGCCTGAAAATACCTACACTTAGAAGCCAAACAAAAAGGTAGACCAGGAAGAAGCCATCCAAAGTTTGGAAGGACAAAACAGAAAATGCGCCATCACAGAGACAAGCAAGCGATGTTTTGAGAGAAAAGAGAAAGATCAAGGGTGTTCACTGCAGCAGAGACTTGAGGAGGGTGAGGGCTCAGACTAGGTCCCTGGGTTTGACCTGGTGGGGCATCCTCTTCCAGCCTCCACCTGTCATCTGCATGTGTATCATGCATCGCCCCTATGAGTGCTGGGGTCACTTTGTTATACCCTGTTACTGGTGTTATTTTTACTACTTCTGCTACTACAGGGGCCAAGGTCCCTGCCTCTTGTTATCAACCCTAAACTTCTTGTGGCCCACTGTGGTAGCCAATGGAGATGGTTTGGTCAGATCTTCCTTTAAGAGAACTTTCTGGGAGAAGCATAGTGAGCTTACTGCAGCTGCTGCAAAATCCACTTCCATGTCATGCAGACTGGGCACAGAGGTGCTGCAGTTGCCCATTCCTGCCCTGCATGGAGCTCCTGGATGCTTGGTCTTTGCACTGATGTTCCCATTGATTGGCCAAGACTTTCTCAGAGCTATGCTGAATCTGGGGCTCCTCCCGCCCAATTCTTCTTCCTCCCTATGCTCCTTTTACAGGCATCAGAACTGCAGTGGAGTCTGGAGACTTCTCACTTCCTACTGCTCCCTCTCCCTTCACAGACATTTCCCCCAGTAGACCTCTTGTTATTCCAAGTGTCTTGACATCTGGTTCCCAAAGGCCTTGATTCAACACACCAATAAGATATTTCTCCATGCTCATTCAGGGCTTTCTCCAAACTAAAACCCATCCTTTAGCAGAGCTCCTACAGGCCTTTGTCCAGTTCACATGCCCAAGTTTTCCGATTCACTCTCCTTTGAGAGGAAAGTCCTTCCAACAGTGCGTTGACTAGGGAAGCTGCAGTTATGGGATGCAAGCGGCAGCTGTGCCTCCCTGACTCTCAGGCAGACCTTTCTATTACCATGGAGCTCTTCTGGGTTTTCTTATTACTATTGTGCTATGCATGTGCACATCTGCCTCCCTCAAAACAACAAGCCTCTAGAAGATGGAGTCTAAGACCTTATTCACCTTTATTTCCACAGAACCCAGCAGAGTTCCTGATGCATGGGATGTGCTTGATAAATTTCTTGACAATTTTTAAATAATTTTTACATTTTTATAATTTATCATTCACACCTGGCCTCAATGCAGACACTGTAGCTATATAAAAAGGGCTTTGTAGTCAGGTAGAGTGGACAAATTACTTAGTTTCCCTGAGTCTCAATATATGCATCAACTTAAAAAGTTGTAATAAGGCTGGGCAGGGTGACTCATGTCTGTAATCCCAGTACTTTGGTAGGCCGAGGTGGGCGGATCACCTGAGGTCAGGAGTTCAAGACCATCCTGGTCAATATGGTAAAACCCTGTCTCTACTAAAAATACAATAATTAGCTGGGTGTGTTATGCACCTGTAGCCCCAGCTACTTGGGAGGCTGAGGCAGGAGAATCACTTAAATCTAGGAGGCGGAGGCTGCAGTAAGCCAAGATCATGCCACTGCACTCCAGCCAGGGCAACAGAGCAAGACTCTGTCTCAAACAAATAAACAAACAAAAAGTTGTAATAAAACAAATCACCACTAGAGATGACCCCCCTTCTTCCCCATTCCTGGCATTACCTTCCATGTCAACGGAACTCAATGAATGTAACTCTCGTCTGCCTTTCCCAACCCTACCCATCCTCACTCTCACCCCAGGGGAGGTAAACTTGGGAAAAATAGACTATGTGAGCCCAACTCATTCCTCTCTTTCTCTCCCAGGCTCAGCCAGTCTTCAGCAAACACGTATTCTCAATAAGCCTTGCCATAGTTCTAGGGCAAGGTTTTTCAACCTTGACACTTTTGACATTTTAGGCCAAATAATTCTTTTTTGGTGGTAGGAAAGGACTGTTCTGGACTTTGTAGAATGTTTAGTAGCATCCTTGGCCTCTACTCACTGGATATCAGTAGCAACCCCGCACCCAGATGTGACCACAAAAATGCCTTCAGCGATTGCCAAATATCTTCTGTGGTTACTGCCCCTGGCTGAACCCCACTAGTCTAGGATAACAGCCTTGCCCCTAAGGAGCAGGTAAGTCCACTATCTTTTGTAATTAGATAGGTATATGTCTACTTCTGGAGTTGATTAGTGTAGTGGGTTGAATGGTGATCCCCTAAAAGATATGTCTATATCCTAACCCATGGAAACTGAATGTGACCTTATTTGTAAAAGGTCTTTGCAGATGCAATTAAGTTAAGGACCTTGAGATGAAAACATTCTGGATTATCTCAGTGGATCCTAATCCCAATGACTCAAGTGTCTTTATAAGAGCGAAAGAGGAGACGACACAGACACCCAGAGAAGGCTGTGTGAAGGCAGACGCAGACACTGGAGTGATGCTGCCACCAACTCAGGAAAGCTCGGAGCCAGGAAAAGTGGCAAGGTCAAGAACGGCTCTCCCAACACCTTGATTTTGAACTTCTGGCTTCCAGACAGTGAGAGAATAAATTTCTGTTGTAAGGCATCCAGTCTGTGATAATTTGTTATTGCAGCCTAGGAAATTAATACAACTAGCCAGCACATCTGGGCTGTCATAGTAAGCCATGTACCAGCCATTATAGAAGCCATTATTGGTAATAAAGATAACATTTTGATGTTCCATCTATTGACTTGGTTGTCTTCTTTCTCACCTGGCTCAGAACCCAGGAAGGAAGAGTGGTAATATTTATTATACCCCTTCAAAAGCCCTTAAAATTACCTCCTGGGATTGGGGCAAAAATGAAATGAGACAGCATAAATGGAAGCACCCAGCATGACTTGTGGCACTTAAATTTATACTGTTACCTTTTCCCTCTAGAATGATGACAGGCATAGTGACCTTCACCTTTTTCAGAGTGTGGTGAGATCTATCTCCACTTTTTGATCTCCCAACCAGGCTGCAACTGCTCATTCAGAGAGGACAGCCAGATGGATCTCAGTCATTCATTCTCTTAAAGCCACAGAAGTGGTCAGGCATATGTCACTGAGTCCTTCCCAAGATTCATACTCAGAAGCCAGACACAGCCTTCCTGTTGCAGTGTGTGATCCCTCCTTTAAGACGGGCTCAGGGAACAGGGATGGATTCAAACTGCCTTATCCAAATGACCTTCAGCTCCAGACCCATTACCCGAAATGTAGTTTAGCCATGGGACTCCGCAGAGAGAACAGACAGCTAAAGATGCTTTGCACTAATGCCAGCATGATATGCAAGACATAACATATCAATTTGCCTCAATCACTACTCTGTATGCACAAGGAGAAAAAGTCCCGAGACTTCGGCCTTGGAGGGTAAGCCACCCTCCTTTCCCCATTTGCTTTTAGGACTCACCGGTATCTGTGTTGCCTTACTTACATGATTAGGAGCTCCGACTCATATCGCATTAATTTATTCTTCTCCAGAACCAGCTTAAACCATTCCTGCAAAAGCTGTGCTTCATCCTGTGTGCCTGAATCTGCTTAAGAAATCAACAGCAAATAGGTTAGATGGGTGTTTCTCTCCCCATGATCAAACTGCTTTGAGCCACTTTAGCAGGTTATGTTTGTAGTGAGAAGAGCTCTGCAGGCAGCACCCCCCACACCCTGTAGATGCCTCTAAGTTATGGACATGACAAATAAAACCCACCTGTGCATGCTCTGGATATGTGTGTCGGGGGTCTTCTCGGACACTTAGGGCATGACTACTCCAGTTCCAATGGTCACATAACCATGACAACATCCCACTACAAACGACCCTCTCCCTGCCTACTCGTATACTCTTTGTAAAACTTATATATGTGTATGCATTACATCCTTCACCAAGGATAACCCTAGCTGCTGGCCATCATTTCCTTCTTTTTCTTCCCCAGATCAAATGGCTACTGAGTGCCCAGGTGGCGTGTGGCTCCCTCCACAGAGCAGGGAAGCTCATACCACATTTGGTCATAGAGGAGTGCTGACTGGCATTTTGATTTTTTTGAACAAAGAAAAGTCAACTAATAAAATAAAGTTATTAACCTTGTGTCTCATGGGGGTAAAGTTATATCCATATATTCTTATTTCTTAGATTATGACCTTTATTAAACAGAAGAAGAATCATGAGAAAACTGGTGTGGCTTCTTAGATATTTAACGTTAGATACTAAATATTTAGGTACTAAAACATTAAAAGGTGACTTTCTAATATTTCGCCCTGAAAGAAGAACACAAGCTGTATGGCAAAGCTCATGGCCATCCTAGAAGGATTTATACTGGAGGGTCCCATACGCAGAGGGGAAAACAAGGCAGACAGAAGATTTGTGTGACCTTGTGCAAGTTGTTTAACTTCTTGGAGCCTCTGTTTCCTCATTGGTTAAATTGAAATAATAAGATGCACAGGCAATATAATAAAAATGAGCTGCTGTTTATTTTGTAGTGATGATATGCCAGTTGATGGGCTATGTACCTTATATGTAGCATCTAATTTAATTCTTATTACCTACTCACTTGTAGATATACTTATCATCACCACTTGGTAGCTGAATAAATAGAGGTTTAAAAGATTAAACTTGCCCAAGTTCACAGTAAGCAGCAAAGCTAGAGCCTGAACTTAACTGAGTCTGATCATAAACCCACGATCTTCACTGCTATGTGTATTTCTCCCTCCCTCCTGCTAAAGTAGTCTTTTAAGGTAAATAACATACCTAGTTCATTGCCTTGCACATAGCAAGAAATCCATAGAAATTAGTTCCCTTTTCTCCCTGTCTCCTGGATCACCCTTTTATTGATAAGGAAATTGGAGCCCAGAAAGATTTATAGTCATCTCTCAGTATTTATGAAGGACTAGTTCTAGGACCCCCTCTTGGATACCAAAATCCACGGTGCTCAAGTCCCTTACATATAATGACATAGTATGTTCAGCTCTTCAAATCTGTGGGTTCCTCATCGGTGGATTCAACCAGCTGTGGATCAAAAATATTCAGAAAAAAATATTTCACAAAGTTCCAAAAAACAAAACTTAAATTTGCTGCACTTCAAGTACTGTGTTGAATCTATTCAAATGAAGTGATTTGTAGGAACTGCGTTTGGTGTTGAGTAATCCAGAGATGATTTTAAAATATGGGAAGAGGTGCATAGGTTATATACAAATATATACAAATACTATGCATTTTTTTTTTTTTTTTTGAGAGAGGGGCTTGCTTTGTTACCCAGTCTGGAGTACAGTGGACAATCGTGGCTCACTGCAACTTCCACCTCCCGGGTTCCAGTGATTCTCCTGCCTCAGCCTCCTGAGTAGCTGGGACTACAGGCATGCACCACCATGCCCAGCTAAGTTTTGTATTTTTAGTAGAGACGGGGTTTCCTCATGTTAGCCAGGCTGGCCTCAGGTGATCTGCCCACGTTGGCCTCCCAAAGTGCTGGGATTACAGGTGTGAGCTGCCATGCCCAGCCTAGTATGTCATTTCATATCAGGGTCTTGTTCATCCATACATTTTGGTACCTGCACAGGAGTTCTGGAACCAGTTCCCGACAGATGCTGAGGGGTGACTGTATTTGCATATAACCTATACACATCCTCTAGGAAACTTTATATTATCTCTAGATTATTTATACTACTGAATATTTAGTATACTGTATTGGTTTTTCCATTTGTGTTATTTTTTATTGTATTATTTAAATTTTTCTCTAAATATTTTCAATTTGCAGATGCAGAAGGGTGGACTGTGTATGCAACATCCCAAATTATTTAGTTTATGGCAAACTGGTGCTAGAATGCAGAGCTTGACTTCTGTTTTATCCATTCACTTAATAATGCCTATCTATCAGACATCTCCTATGTGTTGGTATTGCCTTAGGTACTGGAGATATAGTGATATGTAACGTTACATTGCATGAGAAATTTGCAGATAGTAAGGCATTGTGCCTACCAAAAAGAATCTTATTAGATACTCTTTGCATCAGAGGGACTCAAAGAGCTAGAATAAAATAGAATATTAGAAAATAATCACAATAAAGCAACAAAAAGCACTCTGAGCACACAGGGGAGGGAGGATTTTCCTGATCAGGGTGTGAGGCTGAGCTTCCTGAGGGACTAGGGTGGAAGAACAGATGACACTTTTGAGATGAAATAATGAGGGTGGAAGAGGGCATTTTTCAAGAAGAGGGAATAACTTGAGGAAAGACGAGGGAATGGGAAAGAAGATGGTGGAGACAGAGATTGGGAAGGGCTGAGGGGCACGGAGGGGTGAGCAAGGAGGCCTGGCATTTTATGATGGTCTCATCAGAGAGAGTACTGCTGAGGCATTTGCACTTCATGCTGTAGAATACAAAGGGACATCAAAGGAGGTGGAGTACAAGAACGATGTGTGAAGTATCCTGTATGAAGGACTAAATTGAGAGAAGGAGGAGGGGGGGAAATAAGGTGTTATTCTTTCTTAGGTTTCCTGAGTGAATGAATGTTTGAGCAAACAAACTTATAAACATCGCAGGCCAACATCTTCTAAGCATTGTTTGTGGTGCCAGACAGAGGTAAGTAAACACTGGTTCCAGCTCTTTAGGTAACTGGGAGCTCATGGTCCATTGGGGAAAACCAACGTAGCCAAATCGAATACAACATGCCTCTTGTGAGAACACAGGAGGCAGGCAATTAATTATATGCCGAGAAAGCAAGGGAAAACCTTAGAGAGGAGACAGCAGGTGTGCTCAGTCTAAATGGATGAGAAAGTTTGCCAGGGAGAGGAGGGGAAGAACAAGGCATTCACCCGGGCATTTGTTATTGGATGAGAGAATGAAGTATGCACACCAGAGATCACATAGAACACAGAAGTTAAGGATGTACACTTTAAACTCAGACTTGGGATCAAAATACTGCTCCTCTACTTCCCATTGTGTGGGCTTGAGCTGTTATCGGAGCCTTCCTAAGTCTCAGTCTTTTTATCTGCTGTGCAGCTGCAGTGGGGTTATGCACACAAAGCCCTTATCTCAGTCCTGGCACATAGTATACGCTGAATAAATGGGAACAGTCACTGCTGAAATCATACAATATAAAGGTGGAAGAACCGTCTGAGGTCATCTGGTCCAGCCATTAGCCAATGCAGGAATTCCCTCCACTCTTCCCTGACAGGTGGCTGCTCTACAATTGTCCATGGGAAGAGGGGGCTCCCTGCTGTGCAGGGCTGTGTACTTTAAGTCCTGAACAATTCTTTCTATTGGCCTCCAATGTGTTAACCACTAGCCACTGATTCCAGTTTTTCTCCCTAGAGGATAATGGAAAATGGTAACTGTATATTTTACATGACAGATCTTCAGATATTTGAGGACACATCTCACAATTCACTGAAGCTTGCTCTTTTCATAGTCAGCACCTCCAGATCGTCTGTCATATAGTGAAAGGAAGGATGCCCATTCTGCTTACCCTATGATTTTCCATGATATATCTTAAAGAGACTCTAGAATTAAACAGTATAGAAACAACACAAAATGGAGAGACCCTCTCACACCTTCATCTTATGACATCCAGAGACTGCAGAAGTCTTTTTAGCAGCGTCTTCACTGGGCCTCTTATTTACTAGTAAATGAACTCTGGCCTTTCCACAGTAGTAGTAGTTAAGTCTGATACCTTCATCTTCTACTTGTACAAGTGATCTTTTTCATAATCCAATTCAAGACTTTATATATATCTTGTTAAATATCACCTTATTTATTTTGTCCCATTATGGGGACATCGTCTGAATATTTTATCTGGCTGATACATTTCTCCTAACTCTGAGATTTCTGCAGAATTGATAAATGGGCATCCGTACATTTATGTGATATTAGAAAGCAAAGTGTCAGATGGAACTGGACACAGAAGAAAGCCATCTGGCCCATCATTAGGGACCTTTCTCAGCCTTTGGATGAAGCCGACTCCAATTGGAACCATCCAGCCCACCTTGCTATATCTTGTCTATGAGGCTGTTACAGAAATGACCAAGGTCAAAATAATTTCCTAAAATCAAGCTTCATAACGTCTGTTATGTTCATTGGTAGTATAAACCTTGCAACTCTACCCAGAAAAAGAAATGGTATTTGTTTTTCACAACTTCTCAGTAAATACTAATGGTTCCTAGTAATCTCAAATTCTTTCTAAATACAACTTTTCAAATAATTGTTTCTAGAACTTTGACAAGGATCATAAGTCATGTTTATTTTCCATATGAAAAGTGGGAAATATGCGGCCGGGCGCGGTGGCTCACGCCTGTAATCCCAGCACTTTGGGAGGCCGAGGCGGGTGGATCACGAAGTCAAGAGATCGAGACCATCCTGGTCAACATGGTGAAACCCCGTCTCTACTAAAAATACAAAAAATCAGCTGGGCCTGGTGGTGCGTGCCTGTAATCCCAGCTACTCAGGAGGCTGAGGCAGGAGAATTGCCTGAACCCAGGAGGCAGAGGTTGCGGTGAGCCGAGATCGCGCCATTGCACTCCAGCCTGGGTAACAAGAGCAAAGCTCCGACTTAAAAA